TTCAATACTGATTATTGAAGCTAATATGGGACAGATCAACGGTTTTCATTTGACCTAAATGCAGCAGTTGCCGGGATTGCCACTTGTGATTTAAAAGTGGTAGATGAAGCAGCAAAGACATATATCCTGATACACGAAGAATATCGTTGTATTATCAAAAATGAAAAGTCTAGACGAGAAATTGAACGTCAAATTACATCATTGTCAACCACAACAAGATTGCAGCAGAATTTGAGAGAACCAAGGTAGACAAGGAGGATTTCAAGCAATCCATATTCCCAGCAGGCACCAAGCAGACAAGAGGCTTCAAACACACCAGTTGCACAATGAGACTTATTATTCAAAGTAGACTGTTAACTTTTCAAGCTGATATGTGAGTCAGTTTTACAGTGGCGATATGCATTACTAGTTTTACCATCAGCGAGGATATATCTTTCATCTTCAAAGCAGGACAGCAATATTTTGTTCAGTTCATAACTACCCAATTGATGGCAAACACTTCTGATTTTCTTCATGGCATGATAGATTTGCTTATTAGGGATGGACCATTTTATTTTTGAGGGGGGGGTTGGGCAATTTTTGCTTGGTAAGAATTTTTTTTTTCGCCTTTGGGCTGTGCACGAATTTTTTTTAGTACCTAAAGGTTGTGCACGAATTTTTTTTTCCATTTTTTTTTAGTCTTCATATTTAGTATCACCAAAAATGAGCATTCCATAGGGTATGTCTATACAAGATGGTACATGTACCTCAAGCAGTGCTTTCTCTCCAGGCCGATACTGTCAAGCTGCATTTAGTCTATTCAGTGTTACATGTTGGGTTACAAAAATAAATATAAAGGAATTCAAGGGGCAGAAGTGGAAGAAGTGACAGAACAAGGGGCAGAAGTGGAAGAAGCGGCAGAACAAGGGGCAGAAACATAGCCACTATAAGACATTACAGTTTTTGTTATTTAATAAATATATATGAGATATGTTGAAGATAGCTGAAAGTCATTTTATAATACAAGTTATATTTAAATATAAATGATATTTTAAGACATGATTTTTATAATAATACCAGATTCAGTGAAATGGTTCAAATTTATGTTTTACTACAAGAGATGGATGGAAATGTTGTATTTTTGATATTTATGATATGAAACACAAGGAGGTGAATTATTTTACAAACAGTTTAACAGCATTTTTGGTCTGTTAAGAAGCTTCTGTAGAAGCAGAAAAAGGGGCAGAAACATAGACACTATAAGACATTGCAGTTATTGTTATTTAATAAATATATATGAGATATGTTGAAGATAGCTAAAAGTTATTTTATAATACAAGTTATATTTAAATATAAATGATATTTTAAGACATGATTTTTATATTATACCAGATTCAGTGAAATGGTTCAAATTTATGTTTTACTACAAGAGATGGATGGAAATGTTGTATTTTTGATATTTATGATATGAAACACAAAGAAGTGAATTATTTTACAAACAGTTTAACAGCATTTTTGCTCTGTTGAAATAAAATTGACAAAAATTACAGATTACCTTTTTATTTGGTCTAACAGGATCCTACCAGTAGAAAGGCTTGCTCGAATTTTTTTTTTCCCTGGCCCACTGTGCATGATTTTTTTTTTCTTGACTTTTGCTATGCAGGAATTCTTTTTTGGTAATTGCCCAACCCCCCTCAAAAATAAAATGGTCCATCCCTTATTTTGGAGTATCTTTATAATCCTGAAGGGCAATGTTCTTTTTGATCACATACTTTTTTACACCTTTCTCCGTCCTCGCAAAAATCCTTTTTAACGTCTTTTGCTTGAATTTCATATCTCAGTGAATTCGTATCGGTAAACAATAGCTTGGCCCTACTACCATACTTTTCTTTAGTATACTTATAGTGGAATTCATACACCAGTGTCTTTGCCAGATCCAGAAGGCACATACCCACATATGCGGGCCGGTCAAGAATCAGTGTTTCTTCTATTTTATAGACTGCCGCAACATCCTCCTTGAATATTTAAATATTAACATACGTCGGCTTAGATACTAATTTGGATAATTTCTTTTGAGCCGTCACAAGTCTTACAACATGTCTCTTTCTGATGTTTTCCATTGTTTTTCCGAACACTGAATTATTCATTAGTTTAAAAAAGTCTTTCTCAAAAGAATTCTTGGCATTCAATCGTTTCTGCGTATTGGAATGGCCACGTGCACGGAGTTGGAGTACAAAGCAAAAGTGGCAAAATAGTGAAGCAAAATTTGTTTTAGAATTTGTTTTACGTTTAGTTCGTACTTTAATACGCCTTTGTAAAACGAATTTTATGTAGCTACTAAAGACTGATTGTGCGTTATATTTGCGTTTTTTGGCAATTTTGCCTCGCCCATAAAGCTTGTTTTGACTTTTTTGCCTTTTTTTCCTCTCTGCCTTATTGCACCTTGCATATTTGCACGTGTCATTTTGCGTTTTGCTTATATGCAATGTTGTCCTTTGTGCCTGCCATGTCACGTGTTTGCAGAATCTTGTAATCTGACAGAAGTGTCGACAGAAGTGTTAATAATTTTACCCTGTCTCTTTTTGTTGATGATGCACATTTTTGTCTCGAAAAACAACAGTTGGAACATGTTCCTAGCGAATTCAGTTTGAATTTATAATAATCATAGACACAGACAGGTCCAGCAATGTTTGCCTTCCCGGGCTAATATTCTTTATCAACATTTTATTTTTACAAACATAAGCAACAATGAAGAAGGCTAAAAGCGTTTACAGCGATTCTGTTTTAACATTGATGGATGTGGTTCACTTAAAATCTGGAAAGGTTGACTTTGAGCCGAGCAATATACTTAAATCAGGCATAATTCACAATGTAAGCTCACTGACCGTCCATTTCTTCGCCCACTGATTCATTGTATCTGCCACAGCTGCCATGACCACTTCTCACAGTGATTGTCTAGGTTTACTTTGCTAAACTTCGGCTCCATATGAATACGTCCTTGGTGACTGAGGTTTTAAATTCTCAGGTATTTGAATTCAAACTTCACCTCTCTTTTATATGTTACTTTGTCAATATATGATGCAGACCACGTCTTGGCTCAAAGTGAATTAGGGAAACAAACACTCGACGACTTGTCAATAAGGTGGATACTGGACTCATCCACTCTTCTGAAAAAAAATGTGGTAAAAGCCTTACACTGTATCTGCTGAGCAAGTTGCAAGGCCCTGCAACTAGGCATCACCCACTGTTGTTATCAGGAGGGAACCAGAGTACTTCTGGGACATCTGCATATGTATCTTCTATCTTTTCACACATTATTTTGATAGCGGGAAAAAGAATTTGTTGGGAAAGGTTTCAGCCTAAATACAAGTGTACTTTATTTTTACTTTCCAGTGGTATAAACAACTGCTCGCTCAAAGCTATTTTTGAATGCCGCTTGCCAAATACAATTCAGACTTTACTGGTGGGTCCATTGAAGCATGCGATAAAGAAAAAAATGGCATCTCGAGTAAAAATAATCCACGAATATAAAAATGTAGACGACTGATGTGCTGAAGCGCCTGTAAGTATGTGTTAAGTTCCTTTCTCGGGTTGTCCATCGTTTGTTTTTACTTCTTTAACTATTAAACGCGAATGTGCTTGTTTCATTGTTCATAACCACCCCTTCCCTCAATTTCCCTTAATGCTTAACCTTGGCCTTCACAAGAAGTTCGCAAAGTTCATTGAAGAAAACGGACAAACAAGTTCAAGTTTCCTCTATCTAGGCTGATCATTTAAGGTAGGTAAGTATATGTTAACAGGAAATTTTATGGAACGAATGACACGAAAACAAAAGTAATATTTATGATCCTAATGTTTAGAGAACTCGTGCGATTGCATGTTATGAAGCGGTGTAAAAGGAAAAATTTAATATGATTTTTTAAGTTAAAAAGCTTTCTTAGGTCAAAGTGATTAAACAGAAAGGTCTAAACAAAAAGCTTTTTTACTAAGCATTCCTTTTTTAAATACTTGTTTCCCTGTTCTCTGTTGTGTCGTAAACGGCTCCTCAAGACAAATATCTCTGGTTTGATAAGTGCCGCGGAAACCCAGAATTTGGTTCAAGTTTATGGTAGCATAAACTGTTGTAAATAAACTTGAAAATGATGCCCTATGAAAGCACACTTAGGACACACCAGCAACAATCATTTCTCTCTTCTTATGTCACACAACGTGCAACATTTCGCTAAGCGTTTGTACTAAGTAATGGTAGATACTAGTTCAAAGTACAAGAAAGAACAATGAAGACTAACTAGTTGTCTGATTACAATGTATCCTTCTTCTCTGGCAAAGTCCACTGTAACTTAGCATGATATATTACTAGACTCCACAAAGGTTCCATTCATATTATCACATGCTTATCATGCACATGTGCTCCTCTTTTTGCCGTACACTGTCCTTTCCCAGTCAGTTCTCTTAGGGCTTTGGTTCATTCACAACAGGGCTTTATCGCCTGGTCTACTTCCTCACTAATTGCTTCGCTTAAGGATGGTGCCCACTATTGTTACTGCGCACACTTTCTGCGCATTTCGGGACTTCCCCTGCGGAACAATGGATGCGTGGGTTAACTTTAATTTACTTTTGCAATGCTCTTTCGCAACATTGGCTTTTGCGCTTTCTACATACACTGGAAGTAATGGACAGGAAAAGAAAACGCAACAGGAGATTCAACTCTACCAAAAGCAAGTGAAAAGGAGTTTCTTTAACGGAGTATGAAAAAAATGGAAAACACTGGGAAAAAGTGGTGAAAAAGAGAGGGATTCGGCTGGTTGGAGAGATGGGAGAATAGTAGAAATAGGGTTTTTAGCAGACCAGTTGACAGAAGGTTGCAGTGAGTGCAAAACAAAATTGAATTTGACAAACATTGTAGATGAAATGCTTCAAGGTCTGGGATCAGTTTTGTACATCCAGTGAGAGGATTGTTATCAAGTGAATGCAATCAAAACCCGCAAGACGCACAGAAGTCCAGGGAAAAAGAGAGTCGGATGTCCAATATAGGACACAAATACAAAGGCCGCAACAGGTTTGTAACACGTTTTTCTTATTGTCGATTTCTAGCATTTTTTTCCCCCATGTTTTCCCTAAGTAAGTGTTTGCATGCAGGAAACCCATTCAAGGTAAACATGGTCGCGCATTCCTGATACCGTCGCTCGGGCTAACTGTTTTTGTGGTCATTTTGAAAGAATATTGTTTTGCTTTTCTTGTGTGCAATAGGATCCATAAACGCTGGGTTTGGAGCCACGGGAATGAATGTTTTTCTAACGTCTCTCAACATTCCATGGTTGTCAAAAAGCGACTATAAAATCCGCAAGGAGGAGGCAAAACAGGGCATTGATAAAGTCGCCGCTGAAACATGTGAAAGAGCTGTAAGAGAAGAAGTGGAGGCTATTATGGATTCGGCAGACCATACAGAGTAAGTAAATAAAAAAGTACACGTACGTTTTACTAACATTAACACTAGGACAACATGTTAGCAAGGTTCTGTTATCAAATGTAAATTTCATTTGAAGATGGCCCGCCAGCCATAATTTAAAAAGTCTGTCAAGTGAGGCCATTGCCGGGGCGCACGAAAGCAATGGCATACTAAAATACAAAACACTCAAATATCTTCGAAAATTTCGTTTAGAAGAAACCCTTGGCATACTGAGAACTTGTTTTCAAAATGAGCTGAATTGGTTTTCTTTGATACAGAAACAAAGCAAAAATAAACACTAGTCTTGATGCCGGATGGCAAAAGCGTGGATCTGGAAGAACATACAATAGTTTATCAGGTAAGTAAAATCAAGATTAGATGGTACGCAAATTCTATTTAGTAAGGTTTGTTATTAAAATCAGGAAAACAGTTGGATAAATGCAAACGAAAACAAGCCAAAACAGTACTATCAACTATTTCACCGATACCACCGCTTCCTCGGCGGTCCGCATACCGCCCTGGTGCACTGAGAGTTGTGTTGATCTGATGGAAAGGGCAGATCAATCAAACGCCAAGATATAGCACGGGATACATTTTCAAGTCTTTTTAACATGCTGATACCATACAGATTAGGTATTATGGAAGGCATATGCCTGGAACCTTGTATTAGGTTGCAGGTATATGTCATCTGTTAACTATTCAACACACCTACTGTCATGCATTATTACGTCAAGTCTGTATTAATTTTATGTTAGGACATTCTACACTGATTGGTGCAAGGACAGGAAAAGTGCTGAGTTACAATGTTAGATGTAAAAGTTGTCGGGTCTGTGAAAATGCAAAGAGAAGGAAAAACAGCCAGGGAGAAACCAATGTTCAAGAAACTGGTCTGGTGTGTACAGTTGTCTCATCTTTATATTCACCTACAATACTTACCAGTTAACAAGAAAAAGGTCTTCCAACTGTTTGTCTTTATTGACTTTTTATCATTGTAATCCAATGACATTTGTTGCTTGGGGTGGATTTAATAAAGATGTTTAATTACCTATCACTTGACTTTGAAGGCCCCACTTAAACGTCCTTAGCTAGAAGGTCTTCCCCACTTAATTTTACTGTTATCATTCTGACCAGGTCTGCAGGATACTGTTGGGCATTTCATAGAGCTGTTCTTGCAGTGGGTTGTGTATAGCAGCAATTGAAATTAAAATTCATTATTTACAGGACTACAGTAAACATTATTTCTGTTGTAGGTTCTTCGAAATCAATGGAGCCTTCCATGGGGGTAGAGCTGACGAAAAATATGAGAGGAGAAGTCAAACTACCAAGCAAACAACAGGCGATGGAATACCACGTTGAAAACATTATCATGGATGGAGATACAACATCTCACATCCATGATAATGTGAGTTAACAAATTGGCATCTGGTCGGACGTAGGGCACGCCAAGAAAGCCTTGTATGGTCATCTTGCAAGGCTATCCGCAACCGACAAGCTGGTAACAAAAACAATGAATGATTATCTTGTTAAATGCTTTGGTAACGTCCTAATCCAAAACAAAGCAGATGCAAAAGGCATACGCCAGGGCTACAGGGTGATTCCAAAGCACGCTTTTGGTGACCACAGTTTGTATCAGGGGTCATAGTGTAAATATCTCCAGAATCCAGAGACATATAACCACCAGTCGCCGCCTCACAGCAAGATCTTAAATCAGATCTAGAACAGGTTAAGTCAAACGTTTTATCAAACAGTACTATCCTTATTTTGCAAAAGAAACCCAGTTTTCAGATAGCTACTTGCTTGACTAAAAGATTTTCAATATACTGTGACCTAATAAATATTTCAATTTATTAGCCCCTGTGTACGAGCACTTTAACGTTAAGCTTTCTTCTTCTGCAGTAGAAACTTGTACATGGAGACTTTACAATTCTCTTTTTGAAAGTTAACTATTAAGTGTACATGACATTGACTCAGTATAGAGTTTAGTATGAAATTTCGTATCAGAATAATAATATATGATAGCCTCAGCAATGACTTTATATCATTTACCTCTTGCAGATTTTTGAGCTCTTTTCCGGTTACGCAGACAAGCTTGCCCCACTTGGGTCAACCTAGAGCAATGAGTCATTTAATAACTCAGTGTCAGTTCATGCCCCTAAACGTCTGCACTTTTCTGGTTCTTTTAGTCTGGAATTTAAACCAAACATGTGATTTACAGTACCCCTTAGCTGACTGCTTTTGTTGTGTCATGTAATATCTCTTGTGCCCATGATATTAATTATTGTAAAAGCACCAAAGAGATATGCAGATAAACTTGCACTTGTAATTTCAACATTGAACAAACAATGCAAATAACATAACTAGGTCTAACTAACTCAATAAAAGTATTACACAGTGGGACATTGGAAAATTCATAATGAAGTGAAACTATCAAACAAAAACAGACTACAACCATGATAATTATTATTGTGATAAAAGGACGTACTCCACATCAAAGAATAGTATGCTGAATAATTTAACATGCATTGATTAATATATAGATTTAGCCAGGGCTAAAAGCGAAGCTCCAATTTTAATAAATTTATAATTTAAATCAAAAAATAAACTTTTAATCCACAAATCATTTAGCTTAAGGGCACGTTCATGTGACTTTTGAGGGAAAGGCTAAGTTATTTTAGAGTGAAACATCTTACATCGAATTGATAACCTTATATGTACACCCAAAAAATAGCAAACATCTTCGATCACATTCAAGATTACAGTAGATTAAGCCTCGAAAACAAATTCTTGGAAAACAAATCATGCCAAATTTTTTTGCGTTCGACAGGTTTACTTTACAAATTCTTGCCAACAAATCTGGGGGTGTTTAAACCAACTTTTTATAATTTGTATACACCACATTTGAGGTGAAACAGTACTATTTATCATACAGAGCTCGGACAGAATGCGGTATTTCACAATTTTTCAAGACAAATTGCACTCAGTCAATATTCAGGACGAGCCAAACCGTTCAAAAATTTCAGAAAATTTCCAAAATCACCCATACGGCCAGCTGGTTCTCGTTTCTATAGTGCGAGCTGTCAGTGTGGTCGAGTGTTTGAATGAACTTTAACAGAGTTACGCTTCAACATAATAGCGAATGTATTATTATTTGTTTTGTTATTTAATGGTTTCAGTTATAACGATGTGTAATCTTAGGGTGCGTTTCTTTAAAAAAATCCAAGATTGGATTCTTAATCCGAGATCATGCGGATTCGTTATTTTTAAAGACACGAAAAATCCGAAAATGGATTTTTTTTTCAATTAGCCGTAACGACCCCAGCATGCAGTTCGCGTGTTTTGGGGGGAGTTTTCAAAATGGCGGAAAGTTTTGGTTTGATGTTTGAACTGTTCGAAGAAGTCCTTGCCGATGACCTTGAACAACAACAGGTTCTTTTAGGAGCCGATGACGAAGCAGTTTTATTCCTTTTGGCGGCCGGACAGCTCGTCCGAAAAGAACACGTTCGCACAAAGAATTTTTACGAAATAACCGTACCTAGTTACATACCGGAGGACTTCCGAAGTCACTTCCGCATGTCACGGCATACAGTTACAGTTCTCGAACATTTGCTTTCGGTCCACGGCGACTTACCTCAATACTCCGGCGATAGAGGAAGACCACCGGTCGAGTTAAGAAAGCAAATCCTTATTACGCTGTGGATTCTTAGGAATCCAGAATGTTTACGCTCTGTTGCCGATCGATTTGATGTTTGCAGGGCAACTGCGTACAGAGTGTACAGACGAGTTTGCAAAGCAATAGTGAGGAACTTAATGGATGAGTTTATCAAGTTTCCAACTGGTGTAAGAGCCCAAGCGGTGATGGAGGCCTTTGAAGAGAAAAAGGGTTTTCCGGGTGTTTTGGGGGCTATTGATGGCACCCACATACCAATCAAAGCACCACATAACAATCATGAACAATACATAAATCGCAAAGGTTTCTTTTCCGTCCAACTACAAGTCATTTGTGACCCGGATTTATTCATAACCGATGTTTTCTGTGGTTACCCTGGTTCAGTACACGATGCTCGCGTGTTTCGTAATTCTCCGATCTGCCGAGAAGTTGAAGTGAACCCAGACAATTATTTTCCTGGCAACTCCCACATTTTGGGAGACGCAGCATATCCCTTGAAGAGGTGGCTGTTGACCCCATTTCGAGACAACGGACGTTTGACTGCTCAACAAAGACGTTACAATACTGCCCACAGTTCCACCAGAATGGTGGTTGAGAGGTCCATAGGGCTTTTTAAGAACAGGTTTAGGAAGCTAAAAACAATGATGGATGTTGACAAAATTGAGGACATACCGAAATTATTGTATCCTCTTGCATCTTACACAACATTTGCATTATTGAAGATGACATCGATGATTTTTAGATGACTCTAATGATGATGATGACAATGATGACAATGATGATGACATCTTTCCACCAGGTGTAGGAGCAGTTGATAAGAGAAACATGATAATGAGACTGATCCCATAAACCTAGCATTTATAAGTGGTTTATGTATTGATACCTTTTGTACTGTGGTGTTTTCATGAACACTTCTTTCATAGGTGGTGTATGTCATTCATAAAGTTTATACTGTATAATAGTCTTTTTGCTATAAATATCAATATTTTATTTGTTTTTAAAAGTATATAAGAAAATAGTAGAGCCATGTACATGGATCACTTTATACTACCTGAAACATTTATGGTGTTGCTTGAAATGTAAACTTTCAACACAAATGTAACAGCCTAATACTCTGACAGTCCAGGTTGCTTGTGTCACGCACAGAAAGGAGGAAGTGCGTGACACAAGTGATCTGAAGCATCTGAGAATCAGGCTAAAAAAAAAAAGGATATATAAATAATATCAAAACCAGTTTAGTTAGGCCCTCTCACCTAATGTTGCTGTTGTAGTTCCTTGTATGTATGTGATAAAAAAAACATACAACTTGCAATAATACTGTTAACATGTATGATATAATAAACTTTTAGATAACTCAATACTGACAACAAACTCAGGTTTACTGTATCTATGTTCATGTTTGTGGTCAAATAATCCCATGTTCTGCAACACAATAAAAAATTATGGAATCAAGGTTACTCTTTGTTCAATGATTTTTCAAAAACATTCAAAAATCGGCCCATGAGTGCCATGCGTTCATTGTGCATATTTTCAAACTTTTTAATCTTTTCCTTTTCTTCCTCTTTCCTGTCTTGTGTAAATTCCTTAAAGAGCCCAACGAGGTCTTCTCTTTTCTTCCGCTCTGGTAACTTCTTTTTCTTTGCTTTTGTAACCACAGGCTCCTCTGTGTCACTACCTGTGGAACTCAATGTGGAACTGGAATTTTTAACACTCTTGACTGCATCTTTGCTCCGTTTACCATCAATGTTGCTGCACAATGTTTTTGGAGCGATGGCATCATCTTTCAAAAATATTTCGTGAAGTTCGTCATAGAAGTTGCATTTCTTTCGGTCATTTCCGCTGACTTTGTTGTGATCAACACAAGCAACATAACTTCTCTTCAGATTTTTCAATTTCGTCTCACACTTTTTTTTTTTTTTTTGATATAATTCTTTTTTGAAACAAATTGACATTAATACAGCAAATTAGTTACTTACCTACATAATTATAATGTTACAACTAATACTACTAATACTAATAATATAATACAACAAATTAACACTGATATTCAAACAAACTAGAAATGTTTACAAAATATAATGTAAATGATATATTAATTACATACAGAAAGTGGATGCATATTAAAACCTTTAAATAGTTAAGCATTTACAAGAGGCGACACTATCCATTTAGCTTCAAAGAAATCCTTTGTTTTTTTACTATGCAGACTTATATATTTTTCCGTTTCATATTTTACAGCAATTTTCTTTTTAAATCCATATATATTCGGAAGAATTTGACTTCTTCTACAATCCCACAAGTACAATTTCCCAATCATGATTAGATAGTTTAGAAGCTTAGCAGAAGGGGAGTTTTGTCGTATCATTCCAACTAAAACATCTTGCAACGAAAGGCGAATGTTTTCCTTTAAAAGTTGGTGCCAGAATACTTCGAAGTCACGCCAGAAATCTACCGAGAAAGGACAAAGATATAGGAAGTGATATAGTGTTTCTGGTTCAGATGAACAAAATGAGCACGAGTCATTCAATTTAAAGCCAATTTTGTAAAGTTTAGCATTAGTATAGAGAATGGAGTTAAGAATTTTGTATTGAAATGCCTTAACATATGCTTCAAGAGCAACACTATGCGGGATCATAAAAATTTGTTTAACTTCCTCGAGTGTGAAATGAAATTCATTTTGCAGCTTGTTTACATTAGTTGGAAAGAGAGCCTTTCTACTTACAAGTAAAGTATAATAGTATAATAGTCTTTAGATTTCTTCTTTGTGACATCAAATATATTATCGTCAATTTTTAGAGAAAGTTCACCTGTTGTTGATTTATGAGTACAAATTTTTAAAATGGAAGGGATGGAGTGTCGAAGACCTGCCCAAACTAAAAAATTAGTTTTAGAAATCTTGTTAGAAACTAAGGAAAAGGAATCTTTGTTATTTAAGTCAAAGGATAGATCGCTGATGTGAACTACACCAGCTTCGAAATAGCTTTTATAATAAACTGTTTTATTATTAATGAGTATTTGTTTGTTATTCCAAAGAATATAACGCCAGTCTTTTTCCGAAGAGAACGTATCTCTAAATTCTGACCACCACTGCAGTAATTCTAGATAGAATAGAGAAATATTCAGTGGAAGGATACTAACATCATAATTGCAATGAAACAAGAAAAGGCCGCCAAAGCGTTCTAGATGATGTGTCAGATACCTTTTCCAGGTGCCATCATTTGAGCTAGCTATTCTTTTTAGCCATGCCAATCGAAGCGATATTATCATGCTGTCAAAATCAATCATCTTTAATCCTCCGTTGGAGTATTCATTTATCACCGATCTGCGTGTGACTTTATCACGACCATTCCATAAGAATTGAAATAATAACTGGTTTAACTGATTTACAAATTCTTTTGGGGTAGGTATTAAAGATGACACATAAACAAATTTCGGGATTAATAGAGATTTGATAAGTGTAATTTTGCCATAAATAGAAAGTCCTCTAGAGGACCAAATTCTAGTCAGGTTTTTAATACTGTCTAATCTTTCTATGAAATTCTTTTCAAGAAGCAATTTTTGATCATACGTGTAATAAATTCCTAAAGCCTTTATCGGTTCGTTAGGCCATTTAATTCCAAAAGGCTGTGCTTTGCAGTTCCTTGAAGAACCTATCCACATAGCTTCCGTTTTAGAACAATTAATCTTTAAGCCAGAGACAATCTTGAAATCATCTAACAGCCTAAAAAGAGCAGTAGCAGAGCTTGTGTCGGCAAGTATTGCTGTCGTATCATCTGCGTATTGAAGAATTTTTGTCTCCTCACTCCCAATAGAGATACCATTGATATCTTTATTTTGTCGAATCGCAATTGCTAATGTTTCTATAGTAACTACAAAGAGGTAAGGAGAGAGCGGGTCCCCCTGCCGCATCCCCCACGCTCAAGATTAAAGTATTCAGATGAAAGTCCGTTGTTTATCACACAGCTTTGTATGTTTCTGTAGAACGTTTGAACCCAATGGATGAAATTAGGGCCAAAATTGAAGGATTTCAAACAATAGAGAAGAAATTCCCATTCTACGCTATCAAATGCCTTTTCAAAATCAATAAATATCATTAGTCCTGGAATACTTTCTTTTGCAGTGAAATCCATAATATCGAAAACTGATCTAATTGTTTCGCCGATATATCGGTCTTTCACGTATCCAGTTTGGTTATGGTGTATAATATTTGGAAGAGCATTTTTAATTCTAGTGGCGATCACTTTAGACATAATTTTTGTGTCAACGTTTACGAGAGAGATTGGACGCCAGTTCTCAATATATGAACGATCTTTTCCTTTTTTTTCTATTAGGGTAATTACCGCTTGTTTTTGAGAACAAGACATTTCACCTTTTTCAAAGCTTTCGTTCACGCATTTAAGAAAAGGATCGCTTATTAAAGGCCAGAACACTTTGTAGAATTCTATAGGAATTCCGTCGTTCCCGGGAGTTTTGTTGGTTTGAAAGCTTTCGAGGATATTGTAACATTCCTCAGCTGAAATTTTGCCTTCATGAGGTCAACTTTTGTTCTTCGGTTAATTGAGGTATATTCAAATTCTCTAGAAACTTTACAATGTTCTGACGGGTTTCCGCATCACTATTTGAACTTTTGTATAACTCTCGATAAAAACGTTTTTGTTCTTGAAGAATGTCATAGGGATCTGTCTTTCGACGCCGCTGATTACTAGTTTCCTTTATATGCTTTTTACATGATTTCTTTTTTTTCTAAGTTTAGGAAATATTTGGTACTTTTCTCGCCGTGTTCATGCCAACGTGCTCGGGCGGATTATTATTCCGTTGACTTTTTCATCATAAAATGATTCGAGCTTATCCTTAGCCGCATTTAAATTGTTGCCATTCGAATCATTGGGATTCGTTTCGAAAACCTGTTTCGCTTCAGTATATTCTTTTTCAAGTTTTGATCCTCTTTCGTTTCTCTCCTTTGCCTTCTTTTTGGAATATTTTATAGCATGAGCTCTTATGTTATATTTCATCCAGTCCCAGATGTTACGGTGGTCGGAAAGTTCTTTTCGGCCTTCCGTGATCCAAATTGGTACCATTTTTGTAAGGTCATCAATGTACTCATCATCCTCCAATATGGAGGTGTTCATCTTCCAGAACCCAGGACCCTTAGCCTCTTTGTCCACGTTCCCAAATTCTAAATAAATAGCAGAATGGTCAGTTCTAATTTCGTCTCACACGCCTTGGCATTAAAGAACACTCCGTTCTTCTTTAATTCTTCGCTGATTTCTTCCCACAGGGACTTGTTCTTTTTGTTTATATCTTTAAATCGTTCTCTGCGTTCGACATAGCAGGAAATTAACAACAGCACATCAGCTCTAGACCAGCGTACAAGAGCTCTCGATTCGCCTTCGGTGCCTTCACTCGACTGACTGAACGTGGCTGCAGCTGTTTCCAAAGAAGAAAAACTTGGACCAGGCTGAGGTGATACTGATCTGACTGTTTCATGGCTGAACTGTGATGCCTGCGGTGGTGGAAACATGAACTGAGGAAGATAAGGTTGAATGCCCGGTTGAACGTGGCTTTCGTTCCACTGATATTCTGGATATTCACCTGCAGATAAACTGTGCGTCCAATATTGTCCTGTAGATAGAAATAAAAGATGCCAAGACGCATCAAACATCCGGAAAATTTATAAAAATACGTACAGGACGGAAAATTTCGGTGAAACTACACAAAAAACTCACCTTGTTTATTCGCCATGGCCGGCAGCAGCTAATATTTACAACAAAATGGCGGGAATGTGGCGGATTTTAAGAAGACGACCGCTTGCCAAACGTACTGCTTTTTGTATCCGTGCAATAAAGAAACGCACGGATCATGAATCCTAAAAATCCGGATTTAGATTTGATCTAATGAATCCACTCGGAGTGTGGATTCTATAGATTCAAAATCCATTTTCGGATTTTATTAAAGAAACGCAAAATCCGTTTTTGGATTTTTTTAAAGAAACGCACCCTTATAAAGCGTTTGATACGCGCGACATTTTTGAGTACTCCTGCAAGCGATGGTCACGAACGATGAAAACAAACGGCACGGACAAGCGATTAAAATTGCAAGAGAGACTACTAACAATCAAAAAAAGAGATATAATTCCGTGAAACATTTACAGAGACAACAATTTTCATTCACGAAGACAAGTATTAAAGTGTCTCTAAAAATCCTGAGTCTTTAAGCGTAAAGCTTAAGTTTATGTTTTAGCCGGTTTCCCGGCGCGGTGTTTACTGTATTTGAAGGTGAACTCCTCGAAGCAAGAAAATCGCTCAAAGTTTTCTTTCTACAGCCAAATTTATAACTAAATATTCTTCGGAACGTTTTCTTTCTATTTGTGGTGAGCAAATATATCTGAAGGCTTTTTAAAGTTCTGTAAGCTCATATCAAACCCGATACTAGGTCAGATCATTGACTCAAATTCTGCAAACGTGCATAAACTTGCCGCATAAACTGTCAGCGTGAACTGTGCAAGACTTCATAAAACACAAACATCAAATATAATAATTACTTAGGCTTACCATTCGAGATTCAGTTCCTGGAAGCTAGCAAGGGAGGCCACAGTTGCTTGAGACTTTTAAACCCTCTTACGCATAAAAGCAAGGTGAAAAACGAAAATGATGCCCTCCGAAATCGAATTACCGAATTTTGACGAGCGACGCATTTCTCAACCAAAACCCAGTAAACAAACCAGCCATGAATAACAGAAGACTCTTGATAGCAGCTGTATTTCATTTTGTACCTCCAGAGGAAAAAGACAGTTAAAAACATCACAAGTTGACACAAAACTCTGTCAGCTTCAGCTGTCAAAGTAAACTACTTTCAAGATGCTAAATAATTTTTCCGCATAAACTCACCTGTCAAATTTTGACCAATCAGAGTATAAAAATTGGACGTAGAGCGTGACCAACGCGTGACCATGGTAAGATAAGGTCTTCCCCGCCTGTACTTTTAAAACAACTGGATGAATTTTCGCTTCCGAGGTCAGTTTGAAGTCAAAATCCTAATAGTGCGGGGCCATAGTGACATAAACACAACATATTTGATATGAATCCTTGGAAAAAATAAACTTGAGCCTGCGATCATTTGAAACTGGTAATTTGTCAGCGGATAACTTTACAAAAATACTCGACCTTGATGGGTCGACACTCGAGCCCGCGGTACGGTCAGGTGATACTGATCAGCGGATGCCCTGTTTTGATAGCTGTCAATTGATCACAACATTGATGTGCAGCCTGTGCAATTAGTTTTCTCTTGGGCTCCCAAACTAGCTAAAAGTGTGAGAGTAAACATTGGTTTTCTTGTGGTGCGGACGGATGGCGGTCGGTCGGTCGCTGTACGGTCACGTGATTACCAAATTTTCTGGGATGGGTAGATTTACTTAGCAATGGGGCTCCGCCCATGCGCGCGCGCGTGGAGCTCCGCTATTATGTACATTTATAGATCAATGAAGCCAACAATCTTTCCCCTGGAAGATTCACTTTGTGTTTTAACAACAATCAGGACAGAAAGTACAAAAAAGAAAAAGAAGAGAGGCAAGCATTTCACACAAGAGGAGAAGAATAGAGAGAAAGAAGGCTCGAACTTCGGATGTACAGCAGCGAGAAATCCTGGATGGATTAAGCTATCAAAGTGGTATCCAGTTCAGCTCTAACCAGCCAGATTTAACAGTAATACCCACCCCTTTGCACCGACCAGCACCGATTGCTATAAGTACAGCGGAAATTACAAAACCAGAAGTTGTTGTCTTTGACCTTGAAACATCTAATTTAGGTAACAGGTCCTCCAGCATTTGATCATCTTAATTAAAAAGAAATGGTATGCACGTGGAATTCTACTAAACTGGCCAAAAGACAACGGAAAGGATATCCTAAAATAATACATTATATTAATGAAGGTTACTGACTCCAAAATACTACAAATTAGCAAAAGAAAAAGAACACTGGTGCTATCTTAGATAACAGAAATTCTGCTGTTATTTGTGTTATACAAGGTGTCTCTTTGGAGGGAAAATATAATTTTACATTATTTTCATTTTTCATAAGCCTTGTGAGATTATTTCATTGATGGAAACCCTATGTACCGGGGTCATGTCAAATAAGGCTACATCTTTAGATACAGAGCCACCCAGAAAATATTACTATTGAATAGTTCTTCAGATGACATTTAATTCAGTTATTTTTTGTACGTCTGAAAAATGCTGAGATTTGTCAACTGTCCGCAGTGCAATTTTCAGGAGATGAAAGAAGTTTTGACCGATACGCATAACCACAATATGGAATATCACCACAAACAACTTAACTGTTGTAGCTGGATAGCTTCTGTAAAAGTCAACGCCTGTGCAAACCTTAAACATAACAGAATGTTTGAAGGAATTTATTGATTTCCTCAAGGCGTCAAAGAGCAGAGTGGTACTAGCAGCCCACAATGGAAGAGTGTTTGACTCTAGAATTTTAGTAAAAGCATTGTTTAAAGAGAATTTGTCGGATGCGTTTCAGTCAGTTGTAATGGGATCCCTTGACACACTACCATTATTCAAGAAGTTACTGCCAGGCTAGTCTGCTACACAGCCGTTTTTAGTGTCGTCACGCAACGCTCCTCCCCACTAACGGCTGCTGAAAACCGAACTACATTCCTTTCCCGTGATTAGCCAATTAAAATTCAGTTCCCATTTTCTGGAAAGTGTTCGCGCTACCTTTGCGGTACTGTGACTCCTCCAATCACAGCTTTGCTTTTATCGTTGCCCCATGTGTGAATGACAGAATAATCAAAATCGTCGCGTGAAAACAAGCAATTAACTACAGTGTTGTCGTAGTCGAGTCCTTTTCAAAATTTAGGAGATAAGCAGCAACAGCAAGAAAGTCGAGCAAATTGCGATTCACAACATGGATGTGCTCATAAAGTTGCCAGGTATAGTTTCGGGAAATCGCTCATCGATAATTTATAAGATTGCTTTTTGACTTAGTACCCTTGAGAGTTTAGTCTTCACAGAACACAATGAGCACATCCGGTACATTAAATTCTTCACTACATATCAGCACATATGCATGTTAAATGAAGAACCAACCGATCCTGGTAAAAGTTTTCTAGGCCTATCAAACCTTCTTTTCACTTGGAACTTTCTTGACCGCTTAAAACAACCTTTTTTGCAAATTAACCTTTTCGTTGCTTGAAAACAGAGAACCCGTCTAAATTCAGCGACGATTGATTGATTTGTCGAAAACTGAGAAGCGTGCTCGCTGCCTAGCGCCCTGCGGCTCACGTATTGTCAAATTTCTTGTACATGATTGGTTTGTTCGTTAGACCACAAACACAAAGGGAAAGGAATGTAGTTCGGTTTTCAGCAGCCGTTAGTGGGGAGGAGCGTTGCGTGACGACACTAAAAACGGCTGTGTAGCAGACTACTGCCAGGCAGGCAGTCTTACAAACAGGAGAGTCTCGTGAAGGACTGCTTGAATAAAAGCTATGACGTCCATAAGAGCCTTGAGGATGTGAAATCTCTTAGGAATCTACTTCTTTATCACAATCCTTCATGTTCCTCTCTTTCAGTGCACAGTTTTACAGTGGGCTTTGTCAGTCTATCTCTTGAGCATTATGAAAGGGAAACTGTTAATTTACCATCTTTAAATCCCTGGTTGCAGATAAGATTTTGACAAATGCAATGGCCAAACGAATTGCAGGTTCAGGTTTGAATCTCCATCAAATACGACTTATTCATGCAAGGGGAGGATATGATGGTCTTCACAGTGTTCTAAGTTCAAAGAGCAGCAAAGGAAGATCCGTGGTAACAGCTTCCAAGAAAGTCTTGTGAAGTCTGTCCAACTACCTGGAAAATAAATAAATCTTACCTCATCAATTGGAGATAAATGATTATGCTACTTTTGCCATGCAGCAATGACAGGGCTGTTTTTATATAAATAAAGAAATGCCTTCCTTAAAAATTGGGGCATGGCAGATCTAGAATTATTCAATTCATTCCAAAACACCATCCGAAAGTATGACATGTAAATTTATATAATACTAAAACTGCTATCTCCTCCTGGCAGCCTGGAGAATCCTTTCAAAGCTGATGTCATTTTACTTGAGGCAATGTATGTTCCCACATGTAAATACATATAGTTTCATAAATATGGAAACTGTGTTTCTGCACTGCCTGCCAAGCAGAATATCCATGTGGTTGAAAGACAAAAGATAAAAGTTACATGGTTATTCTTATGGTTAATCTCTCTATGATTACCACAGAATTAAAGCACGCGCTATGTAATATTAAAGGAAAAATTTCGTCTGGATATTTCGCCCTTTAATTAATCAAATGGGAAATAACCTTGTAATTTCCATTTTTTTATATTTAATTAATATGTTATCATTTCACAACACATCTGTTGATACGCTTCAATGACAGCACCTTCAGGGCTTTAGTGCCTTTCATTGTCTTTTAAAACTTTTTAATAAGCAGTGTAATAAGAATTTGCTTGCCAAAGAGAAAAAAGAAAGACATTTAAGGCATAAATTAATATATACGTTCTCACCTGATGTTTGACCTGTCTTGATGAATGAATTACACAATCATACCGTCTCTAGCTTTAATGATACATCCATTGCGAGCCTTTAAACTAAATCATTTTTCCTTATCATGTCCTTTCCTGCTTCAAATCAGTTGAACTAGATAGCTACTCAAGGGAAACAATTCCATTTCAAGTCAGCAGTGCTATGTCGGGCCACCTGTTCGATCGTGAGAATTCTCATCGACTTCTTCCCATTAAATGTCAAGAGAAACTTATCTCTATGACACTTTGAATTATAAAATATGGTTTTCACTCTATTTCTTGCCACTACTTTGATCGTAAGAGCATTTTCTTCCAAAAGATATCCATGTGGTGTCATTCACAGGCGTTCCTTTAAGACGTTCACTTCGGCCTCCATTTTATATCCCAGCATGCTAAAGACGACAAGCAAAAACTTAGAAGGGAGGGGATGGGAAATTTGTATCAAATCCCAAAAGCGATTCAATTGAAGTTGGAAACATCTCGAATAACTTTTAAAAATGCCTGGTTACCCCTACTATTTATTTGGTCGTATGAAAGTGTAGTTCCTGTAGAGCACATGATTTATTTTGATCCGGGTGAAAAAATTATCTAGATACTTTTTTAAGGAAAAAAATGGAGAGCTGTCAGTTTTGATTATGCCTCTTTTGAGGTGGTTTTGACCCTAACAATGTCAAAAACGTTGTTATTTTCCACCCACGTATTTACTAAAAATGATTTTGTATTCATTGTTGATTTAGCTGTTTTAATGGCTAGTTTCATTAAAACCTTTAAAGAAATTCACATGTTTTCAATTTTATGAATATTGCCTAATCAGCACTATTTTTCAACATTGAGGCGCCATTATCTTGCAAAAAAGCCTGGTTACCCCCAACTTTTTTGTTGGATTTCAATACCCCTCACTACAACCTACTTATCCCCCACAGTCATTATCTGGGAAAAAATACTTCCCATTAGTGGGCACCGTCCTTAAATCGACTTACATAACTTAGTGTACCATGACAAGGCAAAGGAGGAACATTAACCGTCGAAATGCCACATTGGATGGCACCAACGTACCAGCAGAACCAACAGACTACAGCGCCATGTCTACTGAAGCTCTTTGCCTCATGCTGGGAGAGCGTAACCTCCAGTAAACCAGCAATCGCCGGGAACTTATCTCGCGACTAAAACAGAATGAGCAGTAGACTGCCCGCATCAAAATTAGCGAGTGCCCCGTCTAACTCCAGTATTGCCAGCGGTGTACCACACGCCGAATTGGCTGCCGTAATCGCCTCCGTAGTGGACAAGCGGATCAACCGCCAACTAATCCAAGATGGTGGAACTAGCAATGTCAGCAATGCCCAACTCGCTCGCCCCAGTCCTCCAAGTAACCTTCAGGACAGCCTCAGGTCCAGTCCTCCACCACAAGATGGCAGCCAAAACACGACCCGTCAACAACAACCTTCCGTTCAAAATCCTCCAACAGGTTATCTCCCAAACACCGCCATTTCTTCTGGTCTCGCTGCTTCTTCTGGTCTTGGTTCCCTCTCATCTCCTGTCGACTTTTCTGATCCAGCCCAAGTCGAATCGCTTCACCCGAACTTCAGACAGCCTTCCCTCGCCAGCCATCTGACTAAAGCCACCTCGACGGCCATCACGAACGAGGAGTACGTGGACTTTGTTACCCCTTTTACCAATGACCTCCCTTCTCAATGACACCATCCATTCCCATCTTAACCTCAAGGTAGACGATCAGGGTTTAACTATTCACCTGCCCTTCTCCTATAAACACCCCCAAATCACCTCTATCGATCGATGGCTCGATGCCTTTGCCATATATTTCGCCGTTATAGTGTCTGTATGTCCCTCTCATGCCGCAGATTTAATAGCCTATCAACAGTTGATTCGAGATGCAGCACAAAAGTTCCCTGGGATTGCTTGGTATGTCTACAATGTGGAATTCCGAAAGCGCGCCTCCCATAACCTTTCAGCCAAGTGGGGGGAACGGGACGTCCAGCTCTACCTCGAAGGCCTCCCAAAATCGTGCAGATCTTGTGGCAGCACCGATTATTTTTCTGATACCTGCTCTTTATCTCCTCGTAGGTCCCAGGATGCCCTTACCCAATCCGACCCTGTGCTCGCACCCCATGCCCTTACCAACACAGGTGTAACCAGCTGGGATGCTCAGCAGCTCACTCTGGGGAAGATCACACTAAACTCACCCGCCACAGAGAGGACAGACCTAAGTCGTCTTCAAGCTCCGGCAATTCCTCCCGAGGACACTCCTAATTACCTCTCCCAACTGACCCCTCCCACCCCCATTGACAACTTTGCATCCTACCTTCAGGGCCATTAAGATTACACAACAGTTAATCATCTTCTTACAGGGTTTTCTCAGGGCTTTAAGATCGGCTTTTCAGGTCCAAGGGCCCCCAAGGAATATTCTTACCTTCCCTGTGCAAACATCAACCCGTTTATTATTGACAAAAACATGCTAAAAGAGGTTACCCTGGGCGACACAGCAGGGCCTTTTCACATCCCTCCTTTCTCCAACCTGCAGGTATACCCCATTGGAGTCATTCCCAAGAAACACTCTTCCAAGTGGAGTACCATAATCCATCTCTCCTCTCCCAAACACTGCCCCACCAGTGTCAATGCCCACATTCCTCCCGAATCCTATTCTTTGCAATACATAAAGGTAGACCACGCAATTGCCATACTTCAGGATCTCGGTCCAGGATGCTTAATTTCCAAACTAGACATAAAATCAGCATTTTGCAACGTTCCCGTCCACCCCTCTGATTGGGAACTCCTGGGTATGAAATGGGAAGGGCTCTATTTCTTTGATATGGGTCTCCTTTTCAGTCTCAGGTCGGCCCCCTTTCTTTTTGATGAATTCTCTTCTGCGGTTGAATGGATCATTCAAACTAAACTTTACATTCCCAAGGTTATCCATATACTAGATGATTTCTTTCTTGCTACCTCCCCTCTCAGATTAAAATGCATGACTGCTCTATGCCAAATTGCACCTTTTTACAGATCTAAATATCTCCATAGCTCCTGGGAAGACCTTCCCTGCATGCACATGCCTTGAATTTATGGGTATCCTACTAGATTCCAATCAAATGGAAGCCCGTCTCCTGGTAGATAAACTCGCCCACATTCAGGAAGCCCCTGGTCAGTGGACTACTGGGAAGTTTGCTACCTTACAGGAGCTCCAGTCTTTGATTGGCACCCTTCAATTTGCTAGTAAGGTTATTGCCCCAGGCCACCCCTTCTTGCAATGCATTATCCACATTACAAAGGGTATCAAGTTTCCCCATTGGCATATTCGCCTTAATTCCGGTTTCCATAAGGACATTTCTATGTGGCAACATTTTCTCCAAAACTGGAATGGGATGTCTCTCTTTTTAGATACCCAGGCCACCTCTCCGCCGGAGCTTCATCTCATCGAAGTCTAACTCTGCTTACAGGAGCCCGACTTTATTTGCCTTCTTCTGTGAGGGGATTGTGTCCCCGGTCTCTGCAAGCTCCACAATCCATGGCAGGGAAGTGCAACCCCTGGCTGCACTTTACCCCACAGTAAGGCTTAGCCCTTGGAGACAGGTCTGGAAAAATATCCACTCCACGGTGTGGACCCCAGGTCCCACCTGATCTGTACTCCAATGAGACGGGCCACCCCTCCTAGTTCCGCTTGGTTCCTAGTGACTGGGGGATGTGGGCCTCACCCCCGGAGACTGATCAGGACTCCTGTACAGTGTGGCTACCACTGGTACCACTCGATCTTGTCTCCCCCCAGATTTAAGCACTTCCCTGCCACCAGAATTTTGCCCATTACCCTTTGTGTGCTTTCTGTGTGGTACCTGATATAGAGCATTTATGCGAAAACACTGCCATTATTGGAAGAGTTTATTAATTTTCAGTATTAAAGGCCTCTAAGCTCCTCCATTACAACGCTTGCGACCGAGCAAGCCCTACTTTGGCATTTGTTTAACCAAATTTTGTCAACAAATTAGCGTCTCTTGTTAAGCAAAAGAAACTCTAACTACCAATAAAAACATAAGTGATTTTGGATTGATCTCGAAATGATTGCACATAAGAATTTAACGCGCACAGCTTTTGGTTGGTTTAGCAGAAACACACTAGAATTCCAAGCTGAACAAAAAATTATGACAAGTAATTTCCATAGAGGTTTGACTTGAGGCAACAGAAAATTTAATCATCAACATTATACTGCCTTAAATTGCTTGCATACTTTTCACCACGCAACCAGTGCAACTGATAGCGTGTTTATAGTTAAAGAATTTCGAGCATCCCATGGCATGTGGCGAAACAATCACTAGGAAGCATGTTTTTTAGCAACGCAAGTCAACCGGAAGTGAGGTCATTTTCACTAAAATTTGCTTTTACGCAACCAAATTTACATTGCTTAGTGTCTTACCTCTGATTTAATAAGACAAATCTTCCGAAAATTTAGGCAAAAGCTTCCCCTCGTGCATTCAGAAATCTCTTGGCTTAAGCACACCCCACTGATATTTTAAATTTATGTTAAGTAAACCGAATTATGATTATTTTTTTAACTTTTAGAATGAGTAACCGACTCTGACTTAAAAGTCCTTTATTTTGGATGGTTGCAAGAAAGACATCCAGAAGAACGGCTACATAAAGTTATTTTGGGAGGGCCAAGGATTTTGGACTTAGCCAGTAAAGTTTTTTGGTTTGCATTAAGTGAAGTACGTGTAAGATTAACCTGACTCTGTTTGGACTCTGTTTAAATTAGCTTTGCCAAACCAGATTGTAATATTTAGACATTCGGTTACTGTTATATAGAGTTATTGGTGCGAAAAGATTCATGGTACTGTAACATGGCGTGCTCGCTGGTGTAGATTAAAGAGACCTGTTGAGTTTATCTGCACTTATCTGGGTATTAACAGGCCATCATTACATTTGGCGACGAGGATGATTTTCCAAGTGCTCAAAGATTAAATTCCTGACATAATTTTTATAGAGAAGGGAATCATGCACGCGACTGGAACACCCGAAGAACAAGAAAGCAACCCAAGCGCATGATTGTCCGCCAACTTAGGTGGGGCGATTGCAAATCAGATCCTGGAGGACCGTGGTCTTCCTTGCTTTGACGCGAAGGGAGAGCCAAATTCGTTGTCTGTTCGATGGAAAAGATGGAAACGTGCTTTTAACCTGTATGTGGCCTCAAAAGGAGTAACCAATAAAGGGCAGAAAGTAGCATTGCTGTTACATTCAGGAGGTATTGAGTTACAAGAAATTTATTACATTCTGGTGTCTGAAGATCAAGATACTTCATTTAATGCCACTGCGTTGCAGTCCTGGATAACTATTTTACTCCGAAAGTTAATGTTCCATTTGAGCGACATGTTTTCCGCCAAATGCAACAGATAGAGAGAGAGAAATTATAGATCAATTTGTGTGCCATCTGCGCCATAGGGCTATATCCTGTAAATTTCCAAGAGTGGATGAAGCCATCCGAGATCAGATCATCGAAAAATGCAAAGATCCAAACCTTCGTCGAAAATTTCTCGAGAAATCAAGTGAAGCAACCTTGACTGTGCTGCAAGAAACTGCAAGAGTCCATGAAGCTGTTAACACTCAGATGCAGTCTATGGAAAGACCTGAGCAGGTGAACAAACTGTCTCCGAATGATCAAAAGCAAAGGACAAGGGGACAAAAGGAAAGAAACCTGCAAAAGAAAGGAAATGCTACTGGTGTGGTGGAACTGGTCATCTTGCACAGGACAAGAGCTGTCCAGCACTAGACAAGACTTATAATAGATGTGGTAAAAGTGGTCACTTTGCGGTTTGCTGCAAGACAAAGTCAACCAAATAACCTAGTGGAAGACACTGTTCAGAAGTGCATGTGCATGATTCCCATGGCCAGCAGATCATGAAGGTACCCCTCACTCTTAAGACGATCATTAATTCCCAAGGGTTTGATGGAGCAGTTTACAACAAACGCTGCTTCAGATGTTGGATAAAGAAGCGCTGACTTCTGCCTAGGATCAGTTTCATGGAACTTTCATTGAGTTAAATAGACATAAATTTTGTCTAAGGTTTTCACTTGTCATAAGATTGTTTCTTTTCACAAACGATGGGAATGAAGTGTTTAGACATTTCGTTACTGTTATATAGAGTTATTGGTGCACAAAGAATCATGGTACTGTAACATGGCATGCTCGCTGGTGTAGATCAAAGAAACTGGTGAGTTTATCTGCACTTATCTGGGTATTAACAGGCCATCATTACAATACCCACATATGCCGGCTAGTCAAGAGTCAGTGTTTCTTTTATTTTATGGACTCCCACAATGTCCTCCTTGAATATTTTACTATTAACATACATCGGCTTAGATACTAAATTGGATAATTTCTTTTGGTCCATAACAAGTCTTACATCAACTCTCTTTCTGATCTTTTCCATTGTTTTTTCGAACATTAAATTATTCATTAGTTTAAAAAAGTGTCTCAAAAGAATTCTTAGCATTCATTTGTTTCTGCATATTGAAATGGCCACGTGGACGGAGTTGGTGTAAAAAGCAAAAATGGCAAAATCTTGAAGCAAAATTTGTTTTAGAATTACTGTATTTGGAAAAATGTTAGTTTTAGTTCGTACTTTGATACGCCTTTGTAAGGCAAATTTTATGTAGTTACTGAAGATTGAAAGTTGCCTCATAAAACGTCTCAGAGGCGTCACTATCTACAAAAATATTAACTGCTCCCAGGCCGCAAAAAACCCGTAACAAAAAGCTATTTGCTTGCCAGTTGTTCATCGTGCTGATCGCACCTTTCATTTTTTGCCAATTTTGTCTCCACCCATCACGCTTGTTTTGTCTTTTTGGCCTTTTTTCTTTTCCTCTCTGCCTTTCTTGCCTTTTTGCATTTTGCATATTTGCCCATGCCAATTTGCGTTTTGCTTTCATGCAATGTTGTCCTTTACGCCTGCCATGTCACGTGTTTTGCAGAATCTTGTAATCTGACAGACGTGTCGACAGAAGTGTTATAATTTTACCGTGCTTCTTGGTGTTGATGATGCACATTTTTCTCTCGAAAAACAACAGTTCGAACATGTTCCTAGCGAATTCAGTTTCAATTCATAATAATAATAGACAGACAGGTCCAGCAATGTTTTCCTTCCCCAGCTAATATTCTTTATCAGCATTTTATTTTTACAGACGTAAGTAACAATGAAGAAGGCTAAAAGCATTTACAGCGATTCCCTTTTAACATTGATGGATGTGGTTCACTTAAAATCTGGAAACGTTGACTTTGTGCCGAGGAATATACTTAAATCAGGCATAATTCACAATGTAAGCTCACTGACCTTCCATTTCTTCGCCCACTGATTCATTGCATCTGCCACAGCTGCCACGACTGCTTCTCGCAGTGATGTACTGGGTTTACTTTGCTTAACTTTGGCTCCTTATAAATAAGTCCTTAATGACTGAGGTTTTAGGTTCCCAGGTACTTGAATTAGAACTTCACCTCTCTTTTATATGTTTACATAAGTTACTTCATTAATATGTAATGCAGACCACGTTTTTGCTGAAAGTGAATTAGGGAAACAAACACTCGACGACTTGTCAATAAGGTGGAGAGTCAACCGGGTGGTGTGGGGAAGGGCGGTGGGAGGGTAGGGGGAACCCTATAAGTTCCTGAATATTTACTGATGCAATGAAACACACCTGCTTTTGCCAGACTTTACTGGCGGGCCCATTAAAGCATGCAATAAAGAAAAAAAAGTGGCGTCTCAAGTAAAAATAATCAACGAATATAAAAATGTAGACCACTGATGTCCTGAGGTGCCTGTAAGCATGTGTTAAGTTCCTTTCTTGGGTTGTCCATCGTTTGTTTTTACTTGTTTAACTATTAAACGCGAACGTGCTCGTTTCATTGTTCATATCCATCCCTTCCCTTAAAGTGCATATGAACCGAAAATTATTTTTAGTCAGTTAAAATCTTTATCATTTAAAATTCTCGATTCCAAAGTTTGAGATGTTTTGAGTAAAAACTGCCGATTTTATAAGCCATTGAAGTTGACCTATTTTGCATCAAAAAATGGTCAAAGGATTACAGGAGACTGGGTCGAGTGACGTCATTTTGGTTGCACCACGAGTGTTTGTTTACAAGATACTATAAACTATAAAGAGCTTAGTCGAGAGATGTCAAGTGATTCGGAAATAAGCAGCGTTGAACAAAGCGACTCAGAAGAAACATATCCAGAAGAGGAAATAGAAAATGATGATGTAGATGTAGAGGTTGTTCTTAGTCTCGTTCAACCTTATGAAGACGAACCTCTTGCAGACGCTTCCGCCGAACCACATATGGAAGAAGAGAACGAAGATGCCGATGCGGATGGCCTTACACCAACTGTTTTAGAGGCCAGATATGAAAGAACGGTTCCAGTTACGTCCTGGTTTGTATAGCCATTTCAAAATAATTTGTATTGCATTTTCCTTTCCTGTCAATTTATATTTGGGAGAAGCTTGTCTTTTATGTTTACGTTATTTCCCCTGCCTTCTCAGGTGCCAATGTGAGCTATGCAACGACATGAATTTAGTTGGGGCGCTGGAGTTTCGTTGTTGTAGAGAGGTGGTCCATTCATCGGGAAGCTTGTCTTCGATGGATCCATCGAACGCATCAGCTGTATAACACAGCATGAAGACTACGCAGCTCTAAGCAACAGGACGGTTCTGCTTCAAGCGGCTCCATTGTTGAGAAACAAAGATGGCGAAGCTACCGCCGACGATCTGAGTTCCAGAGAACGAGTGAGAAATAATTTTAATTCCAGATATATTATTATTCTCTCCCCGCAAAGCTTTATTATTTTTGCAGACTAGTAATTTTTGCTGAAATGTTTGCGCTGTTTGGGTAATAGTTAGAAGGACAACAAGGGCAAGAGTTCTATTGTTTAGACTTTGCCACGGTTTTGAAAGCCATCTTGACGGGTAAGAAATTACAGCGTTTGTATGAGAATCCAATGTCCAATAATTTTCGTTAAATGGCCGTTTTCAAAAGTGTATGAATTGCGAATCTAAGTTACAAGGTAATGGACTTTTGCAACAAAATTTAATGGCCTGATCTGGGCTAGAGCCGCTTTCGCCCGACCAAAATTTCCGGGAAAAATTAAAAACAACTCGGAAAATTCAGGCGCAGGCACGGCTCAAAATTTGTCAGTAGAATACTGTACTGCGTAGCTTGAGTGTTTTATTGTTATTTTCTTTTTTTTTGAAAACGGTTGTTTTACAAAAATTATTCGACACTGAATGCTCATGTACACGCTGTGACTTCTCTCGCGTTTGCCAACTCGTCACGATGCTTTCCAAAACACGGTCCGTGACAAGATCTATAGATACGACAGATCACTTCCTTGCTTAGCCGTGTTCATTTTTTTTTCCAGATTCATTCGTGCAGTGGCTTATAGATGGATGATACGCTGGCTTTGTGGGTATATGGGCTGGGGAAACACAAGGCCCCTTCCAGCCTGTATTTATCATGACATCAGGTCTCGTTACCAGACTTTGCAATCAAGAGGATACAGAAACGCACTGCCAGAATAGATTTTATTTGGCATAGTATATCATCAATGTTATTAAATGTACAATAATAATCAGCCATGTTAATTAAACGAAACATGATTTTGCTTAATTTGTTTATGTTATTTTCATGCGCAAGGAATCATCATAAAGGGGTAACCCCCATAATGCAACTACTGTTTTTGGGCTCATATTTTTCATTTTTTTTTTTTGTTTCCTTCAAGTTACAAGTAACACTCTACTGAAATGGTTTTCTCATGCAGTTTACTAAAAAAGCACCCATACAGTGTGGATTTCAAAGGAGTTAATTGTAGAAGATTTCTTTTTCAACATTATTAATTTTTATTCAGGACATTTTCTTCTGGTGTGGCCTGGTCTTTTGCATTTTGAGCACTTTCTTACTGCCCTAGAGCCACTGGCAGGCTGTTGAAAACTGCAGCTTGCTTGTTGCAGGACTTCTTGCTCTGCCCCTAAAGAAACAAAAATACTTCGTCAAGCAAATTTTATTTCAAGGTTTGTGAACTATAAATTAATGATGTGCCACTTTCTTGTATTGACAGAGTCTTGGTTTTACCCTTATTTTGCCTGTACATGTGCAAATACTTTATCTTCCCCTCCTCAGAATAACTTTATAGGTATTTAGTCAATAATTGAAATGTAACATACTTGCTGGGAAAAGTTGAGTGCTGATTCCTTGTCCTTGTTTCTCTTCATGTGTTTTTACTGCTGTTTCCTTGTCAACACGACCACTGAATTGAGCAGTGAGGGGTTCTGGAGTCCGGGCAGAATATCTGTCAAAAACCTCTTTCATCTCTTGTTTAGACAAATTAAAGAGCAGCTTTTTTATATCTTCAGCATACCCTATAAAAAACAAAATTGCCAAATATTTACTTTAAATATTCTGTGCTGATTAAATGTACATAATCATAAAATCATATTTACATCCCTATAAGTTTATCAATATTGTAGCCACTGCAAAGTAGTTTGCCATGAAATAATGTACATGCAAAGGTTGTGGATAACACTGCATCCTGGAAAGCAAGTTTTATTCACTTGACATCCTTTCTTATCCTTTTTTATTTTTTATAAAATATTAGAACTATTCTAAAAAGGATAAAAAGTAAAAATTATTAGTATAACAATGATTCACTCTACAGTCAACTTACCATATGTTGGGGGTGTAGCTACTTCTCGAACAACCTCCTCACCTAGTTTGAATTTTGGGTATGTGATTCGGAAATACTTTTTACCATCCCTGGTTACCTGGGTATCCCTATGAAGATTCTCATTGAAGTGGAGACTGGCAAGGATGTGTCTGAAAACAAATTCCAAAAAAGCATTTGTGACATGAGGGGCAGGAGGAGGGTGCAATGACTTGAAATGGGTTGTCAATCAGGGGTTTCAAAACAAGCCAGTGACCGCCGGAGTTAAACCGCCTACTTGATAGCATGTCGCCGGCTACTCTGGTCATAACAATCAGCTCTAGACAAACAATCTCGATTGTAACAGCTGCCTACTTTTCCAGAGTCAGGCACCTACTTCAAAATATGTTGAAACCACTGGTTGTCAATTAAGTACTAACTGTTATGTAGTCAATAGTCATGAAAAACCAGTATTAATTGTAAAAATGTTTGTTGGACAGTAACTGTTTTTGTAACATAATTTTTTGTATTTGACAACAAAAATTTAGTACTACCTGCAAAAGGAGCCGAGCCAAGAGAAACCAATCATCTTTGGATGCCAGTGGTTCAAGGTGGCATGAAACCCCTCTAAGCAACTTGTTTGGGCATCTGGAGACAACTGCTCTATATCCTTCAGCAATGCTTTGCCTGTGAGAAGGCTTTTAAGTTTGTCATAGGCAGCAGTACCTACAATAAAAAGTAAAAGGGTGTACATGAACTTTTGGTACACTAAAATTAAAGACAATTCCAACAGCTGTGACCTTTAATTATAAATACATTAAAAATTATATCCTCACCAATTTTGATCCACTTTCTAGATGGAAGGTTTCCATGATTGCAGACCTTGTAGAGTGGGTCAGGGTGGTCAGTATGTTTATTTGCAACATGTCGCAGGAATGAATTCCACTTAGCCAGGATGAGGTTGCCAAAACCAGGTTTGGTAGATGTAGCACTCCAATAAAGGTGTCGGCGAATTCCCTTCATCCAATCCTGGATGATCTCACATCCCTTCTCTTTACTTGCAGCAAGCAGCTTTTTGGTAACTGAGCGGGCCACATGCCAAATGTCAAAGAAGTGAGTAGTGCCAGGGCAGTTTTCTCTAATCCATTTGGCTATACCCTCTATGACGGTCAGAGATAAACACCCCAATTTTAACACCAAGCCGCTGCAGAAAGCCAAAGCACCGTTTTACTCCTTCAAGCTCTGTTTGGTAGCTGCCACCAGTCTCATTTGCCTGTAAGAAATTTTTTGAGAAAGAGATGTAATAAATCTTCAATAATTGGCGGGTCCAAGACATCTTGTTCTTAATAGATGCTTGAAACTATATTTTTACAACAGTAAGGTAAAAAAAAAAAGTTCAGTTCACATAACAAAGTAAATGGGTAATTTTACTGAAAATTTTCATTGGATGACAAGAAGATGTGTTGTAAGGGTTCTATATCACTAGAACTGAATACAATTTTTCAAGGTTGAGTAACACCTTATTTTGTTTAACTGCACTCTCTCTTGGTTTTAATAAATGGTGGCTTTCATGTCATGTCTTTTATATGGAAGGGCTGCACTTATAAAACCTTCATACCTGAACAAGCTCAAAGTGTACAATTTTCATGATGGTTGTACATAGCAATGTGTATGCACCATACTTCGCTGAGTGCCCCATGGAGTCATACCGGCCATCCCCAGCCCAAACTACATCCTTCAGGTCCTTAACCTTATTGAGAAGGTCAGTCTGGTAGGACTCCCAATGGTGAATAACAGCTGGAAATAGGAACGATCTTTGGTGCTTAAAAAATGTTCTTGCAGAGTAACAAACCAGTCCCATGTGACGAAACACAAGGAGAATCTTGCTGATAGAGGCACCAGCCATCAAAACAGCAAGACTCAATAGGACATTACCAGCTGGATATTTTCCATGAGGCATCATCCTTTGAGAGGTCCACACATATCCCTTAATGCATTTGGCACACTTCTGCCTAACAGTCACCATTGTGCCATTTTGAACCATAGACACTTGAGGATTATTTTCTTTGCAGTTGAAGCAAAATAAAAAAATTTTCAAAAGCATTTCATAAAAAACAATAAATTTTGGCTGGTTGTAATGGTAGTCAGAAGAGTCTGCATCTGCCCTGAAAAGAAAAGAATAATATATATATACAATTATTGTACAGTACTGAAACAAAGAAAAGAGACCTTTTCAATGATTCATGGCTCACAAGTTTGAAAGTTTCAATAGGTAGTCGATCCAAAGCATGACACGTTAATTTTACATCTTGAACGATGAAAACATAAATTAATTCTTGAAGAACTTAAGCCAAGAGAAATACTACAACAAAGACAAAAAGAAACACCCTGATTTTCAGATGAAAGCAGGAAGGAACTTATCACAAGAAGGTAACCCCAAGAGTGGCTTTTCCAACGACACCTAAACAATGGGCTACAGACATTAATTCTTACTTTATATCATTTGCATTTGATTCTGGTATTTCTTCCTCATCTTCTGTGGTTTGCTCTTCCTCTGAACTCGCTCCTGTTGGGCCCCACTCTTGGTCATTACCTTCCACAGCACCATCCTCCTCTTCCTCTCCAGTGCTTGACCATGAAAAATAATTTTGGCCATGTGAAGTACTCTCACTACTTGGCTGTGCAGATTCTCCTTCTTCTTCCTCTGTTTCGTTTTCAGCCACACACTAAATCAAAACCAAGAAAAGGTTATATTATTCTTTTAGAGCATTACTTCAAGTTATTGAAAAAAATAAAATATGGTAGTAACCTGAGTAAAACTTACACTCTGAAGTTCAGCAATGGTGGCCTTCAAAGAACAGACCTCCTTTTTTAGACCTTTCACTTTGCTCTTCAGCCGTTTCTTCGCGCGCATTGCTTTTTGGTACTCTGCTTTGTGCTTGCATCCTTTACAGCTTGTTGTACCAGTATGCATAGAGGATGAGGTTGTACCATATGCTGCCGAGTTGTCTGAAGCAGGCTCCTCAGGCTCCTGAATTGTAGGCACCGTAACAGAGGCTGAGGTTGATGGGACGTTTATAACGTCCTCACCAGAAGTTGATGGTCCAGGCAAAGCAGTAGGCATTTGCATGTCTTTGGAAACAGCTTCTGATTCTGCACCTTGGTCTAAAGATGTTGTACCATCAGAAGCTGGTTCCAAAGTGGCAGGGGCAGTGGATGAGGAAGGCTTTTTCTTTTTCTTTTTAGGAGGCACATTCACTTTAGCCATAACTTCACGTGTTAACTAAAACAAGAAACAAAAAACAGGTAAAACTTATTGATGATATTATTACAATGCCACTTCCGAAAAACATTATATATAAGCTAACTATTAATAAAATCTGATATGTCTGTAAAGAAAACAGCAATTCTTTTTCTAGGATAAAAAAGGAAACCCTTTTGACTGTTTAACTGGACTAATATAGTTTACCTATTGGCGTCGAATTATTGTCAACGACGACCAAAACTAAGGGTTTTTATTCTTCTCACTTTGTCGGAAGAAACCTAAAAAGAATGCGGCCGTCTTGTTTACTGACGTCACATCACACATCAAGGTCATTTTTAGACTCTCTTGAAAGTCACGAAGTGGTGAAAACTAAGCAAATCGTACATATCTTTAAATAGTTATGAAGACAAGTAAACGGTAGCTGGTATTCCTGACAAAGAAAAAATATGTGGGACTACTACTGTAGCACAGATCGCTGGAAATAAGCGTGTAAACATATGAAATTCTTACCTTCCTCTTTTCTCGCTGGCTGATCTTTTCAGGTGATTGAGGGGTAACAGAATCCCTCGTTGGCACGGCAGTCGCTTTTAAAAAGACTCTCATTTCAAGTTTATACTCTTTCTTCACAGATCTGACAACTGACATCTTCCTTTCATAGCAAGATTCGTCAAAATGTGCAGAACATAACGAAGCATACTTCGAGGTCGGGTCTTTATAATCATGCCTATGGCGACGCACAAATTGCACCCATTGAGCTCTTACAGACGGATCAGATGGAAACTCGTGCATACGTATTCCAGGCGTAAATGTCGTATTTTTACAACTTCGCTGGTTTGGGGTTCCAGCGGCGCAATATCGCCCTCCTCTTCGCGTCGCTTTCGGTGTTTTCGAGCTCTCCGCCATAGTTGCTTTGTTTGAATGATTCAAGATGCAACCAAAATTACGTAATTTACGTCATCAGCATAAAGTCACGTGGTAATTTGACCGCGCGATTTGAAGACCATTTTTTGGTACGAAACAGGCCAACTTCGATCGCTTATAAAATCGGCAGTTTTTACTCAAAACATCTCAAACTTTGGAATCGAGAATTTTAAATGATAAAGATTTTAACTGACTAAAAATAATTTTCGGTTCATATGCACTTTAATTTCCCAACCCTCCGTCCGTAAGAAAGCGTGCACTTAACCTTGCCCTTCACAAGAAGTTGGCAAAGTTCCTTGAGGAAAATGGACAAACTAGTTCAAGTTTCCTCCATCTTGGCCGATCATTTAAGGTAGGTTAGTATATGTCAACAGGAAATGTTATGGAACGAATGACATGAAAACAAAGGTGATATTTGTGATCCTAATGTTTGGAGGACGCGTGCGATTGCATGTTATGAAGCAAAATTCAATATGATTTATTAAAGTTAGAAAGCTTTCTTCGGTTAAATGATTAACTGCCTGATCAAAGCCTGCAGCACAAAATACTTGCCTAAACTGAAAAGAGATGAAAGTAATATTCCAGAAAGTCAAGGAAAGGATGCTTATTCTTCTACTACTACTACTCAAAAGACAAGTGAATTTAATTTGTCTTTGTCGCTATAAAAGAAACAACAATCAAACAAAAAAATCTAAACAAAAAGCTTTTTTGCTAAGCATTCCTTTTTTAAATACTTGTTTCCCTGTTCTCTGTTGTGTTGTAAACGGCTCCTCAAGACAAATATCTGTGGTTTGATAAGTGCAGTGAAAAACCAGAGTTTGTTTTCAGTATTATAGGCCTCGAAGCTCCTCCTTTACAACACTTACGACCGAGCAAGCCCTGCTTTGGCGTATGTTTAACCAAATTGTGTCAACAAATAAACGGAGTGAAGTACTTTTAAGATTAACCTGACTCTGCTTGGAATCTGTTTAAGGACGGTGCCCATTAATGGGAAGCATTTTTTCCCACATAATGACTATGTGAGACAAGTAGATCATATCACAGGCTATTGAAATCCAAAAAGAAAACTGGGGGCAACCACGCATTTTTGAGAGATAACTGCGCTTCAATATGGAGAAAAACGCTGAATAGGCGTTTTTTAGAAAAAAGATAAAAAGTTATTTTTTCCCAAAATTTCAGAGTGTACACGTGAAGTGGAACAAATGCTATGATAATCGTAACTAGGTTTCAAAATAGGCAACAAATGATAACATAACTGGGGTTTATACGTCTTTTTTTGAAATAGCACAACTGGGAAGTTATCAGCAGTTACCCCACTCCACGCGTTTGCCTCAAAAATAGTGTAAACGACATTGTCCTTAATCCAAAAATTGATGGTTTCCTGAGTAGCATTATTACTTTCATTTGGTGAGATAAAAAGTAGGGGTTACCACGGGTTTTTAGAAGTTAAATTGGTTGGTTTCGACCTTAACTTAATCGCTTTGGGGTTTATTTACAATTTTCCCTATCCCCTCCCCGGTCAGTTCACTATTGCTTGACTCAATGCGGAGTACTCTGGGATATCCACAATGGTTAACAGTCAGAGAAAAAATTAATAGAAGGAGGAGAGCAAAAACAGAAAGTGAAGCAGGACATTTCATGGGCTCTAAGAAAAACAAATTATACTATTTCGTTCAACTGCAGCTTTTCTGTCTCAAACATTTAACAAAACTTTTTGGAGAAGAGCAATCTCCAAGGTATTAGAGATTACTTGCAGCGCACATAGTGTAGTATGGCAAGCTCAAGATCCACGGCTGGTGCTGTAAACAAACTACTGTACTGTAGTGGAAAATGTCGACAAGGACTCTGAGACAGGTACTCCTTCAATCGTTTGCTTACCTGTACATGTCCTCAACATTTTTTGAACTGTAGATGTAATATGGATTGTAAACCTTCTTTCATTTTTTAATCATTTTACCGGGTACCTCGATCGAATATGTTATTAAACTTGCATACATTCAATGAACTTATATCTGTGCTTTGCCCTATCTCTTTCGGGCTTTGCCACAAGTGTCATATAACATAAATGATTTGCATTCACTCAAGTTCCATACATGAGCTCTCTTTTAAAAAGGCTGAGTAGTGTGAAAGTAGTTGTACCGAACGCGTTTATGTTCGCTCATATATGCACTGGGCTATAATGAACATTTTATATATTTCGTTGTGATTTTTTTTACTGTAGCATTCTGTGTCAAGATCATTCACTATTTTTCGTTTCCAAATGTTAATGTTACACTTGACAGTGTCTATTAAAGCTAAGAAAGTCTTAGAATGGAAATACTGTATTTTACCTTCCATCTTTGTTTTGTAAACAGCCAAATGGCAGCTATGTCTAAATGTCCAGATTATGTGTGGTGTGAAATTAGACCTTAAGAAATACTATCTACACGACAAGCTGCCAATGAGTCAATAATTTCAATGCTTAGTAATGCCAAAATGCTTAAATAACAATGATAATAGTAAAAAGCATAACAATTTTTTTATCATTTTGTCCACGATTAAAGCGTTTCCTTTGCGGTCCGCAACTATTTGTGAAGCTGCGATCTCAGCAATCCAAACAATCTAGTTTTTTTCTTTTTGTTCAACAAATAAAGGCCTCGGACTCTCAATAAAAGGGACATCTGTATGTACTCGAACGCTTTAAATCTATCTTCTGGTGAACAATTACATAAAATCTTACATAATTAAAGAAATATTCAGGAAAAGTGTTTAGAGCCGATAAAATGATAAAACATGAAGGACGCGAGTGGAAGGTAAGCTTGCAGTTTCTCGATTAAGAGGAGGACTTAGAGCTATTTCCTTCTGATTTACTGATCCTTGCCTATTAAGGGATTTTTTAATACCCAAGCTCTAAGCATAACACCTTGAAGCAATAATTTTTGATGTTTTAGAATCGACTTTTGTCTGCCTATAAAATGTTCGGTCAGGCCGATCATACATAGAAATAGCAACATGCGCATACTTTTTCGGTTTTCAAAGAACTGACAAGGTAAATAGAAATTATTTTTCATCTGTTGAAAAATGAAGCATCTTTTCCAAAAGAAATAACTCGAACCTCCCAGACTTACAGGAGACAAAACCAGTCTGTGTGTCCTGCGTGTTGCATATTTCTTTCGCGTCGCGCACAACTACCTTGGCATGCGCAGAAAATGTGCGTAGTAACAACAGTGGGCACCGTCCTTAAATAAGCTTTGCTAAACCAGATGCTCCTGTATGACTAAATAAACAATTTCATTGATTAATCAACCTCAACTACCGACTCTTGGTAGAAAACTCAGTAATACAATCAGTGGTACAAAAAAGAACGCTTAAGTGTGCATGTACTTATTACATCGTCATCGCCTTTTAAGTAGGGCCTCAAATATAACCAATTTTTCCCTTAGATTTTGAGTTTACTAGTAAGCGTCCTCATTATTCACTGACATTGTTTTGAAGTTTCATATGCGCATGCACAACTAGCAAAAGAAATAAATTTGCATCTAAAAGGACTCAAGATTACTTTCCGAAGAAATATCCAGAATATGCTAATAATTGGCTTGTGACACGGATAGCAGTGACAGCTGAAACGGTGAACGTCATTGCCCAAATTGTAGGATGCAATACTCAATTACTATCTTACTCGGGTGATGTTATAATATATAACTAATTTCTTTAGCCGGTTATTAGCATATTCCGGAGATTTTTTCGTAAAGTAACCAAGGGTCCTTTTTGATGCAATTTTTTTTTCTAGTTGTGCACGTGCATATGAAACTTGAAAATATGTTCCATTGTGCAGAACCAGAGGCTATCGAAGAGTACAGTCATTTTGTGTTTACCAGTGAAAGAGACAAAGATTGCTATCAAGACGTCTGGCGCAAATTCGAGGAATTGTCCCAGGGTGCTAGAAATGTAATTTATGAGCAACTGGTGTTGAATCAGTGAAACCAGAAGGAAGGTGAGAACTGAAAAGACTGTCGTTAACTTGTGAATTTGGCGACCTTCGAGATTCGCTCATTCCTGATCATATTGTGGAAGGAGTTTAGTCAGACAAATTGCGAGGTGAACTGCTGAAGACATCAGATTTAACACTAAAAACTGTTCATGATTGTTGCCGTACATTCGAGGCAGCTGACCTACAGAAATGCAAGTTTAACACACCAACAGTTGCGGGTACCGAACGTTCACTTCACCCTCTTAGGAAACTCAAGGTTCAAGAAAGGACTCCTTGTTACTGTAAGTTTTGCAGTTACAAGCACCCATTTACTCAGCCACCCCGCTGCCCAGCACTTGGAAAGAAATGCAACAAGTGTAAGAAAGAAGGACACTTTGCACAAGGGTGCAAAGAATTAAGTGCTGAAGGTTCAGAACTTGCGTATAGGAGTCTTTTAGGAAGGCATATAGGAACCGTTCAGTGAACCCGAAGATGTAATTGGAGTTAATCTTGTTGAGGAACTTGAATTAGAAAGCAGCACCCTTAAGAGATTCAAGGACAGCTCAAGTGTTGATGAGACATCATGATGGAGTGTGTTTTGGAAGGATGGCCCTCTGACAGAACAAGTTGATGTACTTGCCTGGGAATATTGGAATTTCAGAAAAGAGCTGAGTGTTGAGGATGGCATGTTATGTAAATCAGACAGAATTGCATTACCCAGACCATTGAGAGCTGAAGGGTTAGATGAAATTCATGGATCTCACATGGGAGAGAGCAAAAGCCTTTCCTTTGCGAGGGATTATGTTTTCTGGCCTTCCATGACTGCCCAAATCAAAGACAAAGTCAGTTCCTGTGCCATGTGTAATGATGCATTCTGCAACCGACAAGAGAGAGAGACATTACATCCTCATGACATTCCACGATCACCTTGGCAAGTAGTTGGGACTGACCTGTTTGGATATGGTAGGCAAACGTACTTGTTGGTTACTGACTTCTATTCCATGTTATTTGAAATAGAACTGCTTCGCCTGAA